GAGCGAGTTCAGGTCCACAAGAATGGAGATCACTTCAGCTACTTCAGCCGAAGCCTCAAACCTGTCCTCCCTCACAAAGTAAGCAGAGTCCTAAGCTCCCTTTTGTAACTTGCCTTCGGTTTGCTTTTCTCCCCTCCAGGCTCATGTGATAAACCGTGAATTCCTGGAGCCAAGAAGCCCAGTGTCGGTTGCAGACCATTGTGCACCATATCAAATGTTCTATGAATTTTGAAAGCTGCATTCAGCACTGTGGGCAGAATTCATTGTTAAGCTCTTGGAGCATGTCTATACTGCACAGTAAGCCTGGGTTCTGACTCAGGTTTGAGCCGAAGCCCTGCTTTCTTCCACACCCAAAGCAATCAGACTTGGGTCAGCAAGCACTCAGGACCTGGGTCCATAGGACCCTTCTAGGGGGTTGGTCACAGCCTGAGTCCTTGGGCGCAAGCCCTGTCATTTTGCAGTGTGGATGTGTGAGATCTTGGTCCAGGCCAGAAGGGACCGTTGTGATCATCTAGTCTGTTCTCCCGTACAGCACAGGCCAGAGAACTTCCCTAAAATAATTCCTACAGCAGATCTTTCAGAAAAATATCCCATGTAGATTGAAAAATTGTCTGATGGAGAATCCACCATTATCCTCAGTAAATTGTTCCAGTGATTCATTGCTCTCATCATTCTAAATTCATGCCGTATTTCCAGTCTGAATTTGTCTAGCTTCAACTTCCAGCCAGTGGATCATGTTGTACCTTTCTCTGCTAGATTGAAGGGCACGTTACTAAATATTTGTTCCCTATGTAGATACTTATAGACTGTAATCAAGTCAGCCCTTAACCCTTGTCATGATAAATAGATTGAGCTCTTTGAGTCTCACTATAAAGGGTGTTTTCTAATCCTGTAATTAGTGGGAAATGCCCAGGAACTGCTGGGAACTGAGGGTTGAGAGTCATTTTGACACCACACGTTCAATGGTTGCTTTGATTCAAAGACACCGTGTGTGAAAGCTGGTGAATGATGCTGGACGCTTGTCCCATTTGGTAAGATTTACATTAGGAGTAGTATTTATGGCGTGCGAGAGAACTGATTCGTACTGTGAGGCACATGCCGAGGCTCAGACTTGTACCTTGTTCTGAAAGCCTAAGTCTGAACTCACTCTCCATCTTCTAGAATTCGTGTCCTATATACAAACCTGCTTCCTACCTCTCCTTTCCATGTTTCTCCATAAGTCCCTCTCCCACCGGGAAAGTCTGAGGGATTGTGATTCTGCTTCTCCTTTGTACCTACCCCAGTCTCTTTCCTACACCTCTCATTGTCGGGGGTGCTTTGGCTGCCATTAAGGCATGGGTTGAATGGCATTGTGTTATGGGTGGTTGCAGTGTGTTTAATACTACAGCCTTATCTGCTACACAAAGTTGAAAGGGGGAAATTGCTCCTCCTGCAGGTTACTGCCGGTTTGTTCCCATGTGTTTATAGCTCTGATTCAATTATCTCTCCAGTGTACAATCGCTTGCTGCTGGGATAGTGAGAAGCTATCCAGCCAAGTACATTGCGTTCTGAGTGGAAAACATTGTGTGTATTGCTGTGTTTGCTTTCCTCCCAGGACTGCATGAAGGGTGGGGGGCCCCCATCTTTGCTAAAAGAATGGGACAGACTCCTAGGCAGACTTAGAGCGTGTAAGGAAAGTAAGTCATTGCCATGTGCTTTTTCAGGTCGCCCATTTTAAGGACTTCATCCCTCAGGCTTTCCCTGGTGGACATAGTATGATCCTGGATGCGGAAGTTCTTCTGATTGACAACAAAGCCGGCAAACCGCTACCCTTCGGGACCCTTGGAGTGCATAAGGTACCAAAGTGGGCACTTGCCATGTGTTGCTGCCGCAGTCTGAAGGTTAAAGCTGGTTGTTTAGATGCGATTAGTCTGTCAACTTAAAATTTTTTGTCATGCAGTTCATTATCACTTAGGGCCATTCACATACCCAGGGCTGAATAGAACGCTAGAGGAAGATCTGGTCCCTGGCCCAAGGATGTGATAGTGTAAATTAGAAGGTACCGCTGAGGCACAGTGCACTAGATTATCAGAAGATCATCTGATCAAATGGTGGTCCAGATGTTTGAGAAACTTCCGCCCAGGATGGATATTAAAAAAAAGATTGCAGGGAAAAATCAGTCACTTACAGGCTTCTCTGCCGTTGAATATTCAGGATTGCTTGCAACATTCTTTAGCAGGTGGAAAAGGACAGAATGATACTGACCTGAGCTTTAGGTCTATATCAGTATGATTTTAAAGCTCAGACCTATGTTAAACTGAGGTGAGGATCAGGGCCATAAACTGAAAATTAAATTGGAACTGTTTTATTGATTTCTAAGGAGCCGGTTATCTGAAATCAATGGAAGGTTTGTTTGAGTTTTCCTCATAGCAGTAACTCCTTTTACTTGGGTTGCTTTAAGCCATTAATATCATGTAGCTTTTATTACCAGGTCACTTGGAAATTAACGTGTTTTATTTTCCTATTTTGTGTGTAAAGAGACACTGTAAATTTAAATCAGGCTTTGTAAGAATGTTTATGGCTGTTGCAAAATACAATTTTAGCATGAAAGATTAAAGAGGGGAAAATATTTTTCTGTTTAGTGTTTTGTATGCTTGAGAGCACTTTGCATATAGTCACATTTCTCCTGTATTCCTGCTTGCGTAATAGCTTTTGATGGTAAAAACAGATTGATTTCTTTGATCTTAATTGTTTTGCAGAAAGCTGCTTTCCAGGATGCCAATGTCTGCTTGTTCGTGTTTGACTGCATCTATTTCAATGACACCAGCCTGATGGACAGGTGTGTTGGGCAGACCGCTTCATTGATGTTCAGGATGGAGAAATAGGTGTAGGACAACATTTTCTAAAGCACCTAAGTTCCATTTTCAAAATTGACTTAAGCATTTGGGAGCCTAAGTCCCACTGAAAGACAGTGGGATTTAGGCTCTTAAGTACCCAAGTCCCTTTTGAAAATGGGATTTGGGCTTTTAAGTGAGGCACTTTTGAAAATATCAACCCTAGTCTGAAGGTAGCTCTGCACATTTTCCTCCTCAAGATTCTGGCTGGCATACTGGCAAATGGCATATAGGACACAGATTTCCAGCCAGAATTTTGGGAAGGAAATAAAACACCCTACATTTTTAGTGTTGCTTATAATGTGGTCAACATTTAAGAGCAAAAGAGTGGACGCCAGGACTCCTTGGTTGTGTTCAGAACTCTGCCACTAACTACTCCTGTTGTGAGCTTTGGCAGGTCACTCCTGTGTGCCACAGTTCATTTGTATAATGTATACGTAATATGATGTGTAATGAAGACCACCTAATTCACAGAGGGGTTGTGAGGCTTGCTCAGTATTGGCAGAGCACTTTGAGATCCTTGCGTTATCAGTGCTATAAGTGGAAGTTGTTAAAAACAGAACTTTCCACTTCTCTGTGTGGAAATAAATGTAGGAAGGCATTTGCTAAGTACTGTTTAAATGTTCACGTGACTAGTACTTTGTGTTGATGGGGATCTTTTGCTTCTCATTGGTTGATGTGTCTGTACTGTGTTTCTTAGGCCCCTGCGTGAGCGTCGAAAGTTTCTCCATGATAACATGGTGGAAATCCCCAACCGGATACTCTTCTCCGAGATGAAGCATGTCACAGTGAGTTCAGTTTCAACTAGTAAAAAGGCATCTTAAATGGTAATCTCTCTGGCCTATGAACTGGGCACTTTGCAGCCCCATGATTAATGGAGCAGCAGTATACTTAGTGGTGCAATTGTGGGGATTGTTATCCAAGTGATTGTCCTCCTGGATTCTGCTTCTGGTGTGCTCAGGTTCTTTTGGCCTTCGGTGTTTGGGGCTGCACCTGCTCTCCTGCTTGAGGGCATAAAGGGTGGAGTGGGCTCATCATTTCTTACGATCTGTGGCAGTAATATGGAACCTTTGGAGTGTCTGTCTGCTTATTCTATGCACTGTGCAATTTTTCGTAGACTAGTTAATAGTATAGTTAGAGAAGCTCCTGCAAGAACATAGGGAGCAGCTGCAATCCATTGTGAGGGATAGTTAGTAGCCCAAACATCACTACTGGCTGCAGTAGATGCTTCAGATACAGCAGCTCGGTCAGTGTCCCCTTCCAGCAACATGAGCGGGGCTTCATGGCTCTAATCTTTGGAAATACTGAAAGAGAGGGGCCCAAATGACTATTGGGGACCTTCCAGCTGAAGGTTGTGATCTATCCAATGCATTTACTGATGAATCCCTGCATGCTTTGAAAGATTCAAGAGCCACTCTCCACTCATTGGGAGTTTGCACACCAGCTCCTAGGAGGAAACAGTGACTTTCTGCTTATTACTACAATGCACAAAGGACATTGGAACCACTGAGGGAGAAACAGGGGTTCCAGCACAGGAGGCCCTCTACCTCTTTCTCCCCTATTGCACACCCTGCGTCTACCTCGCAGCAAGTTTGTCACCATCATTGAGAGCCAATTAGAACCATCCCAAGATTTATGCCCCTTTGCCCCCTGCCCCCTCTTTGGCAACACCTTTTATTATTTTTGGGAGGCCTGGACTCAGATTAATGGTTCTTAGAAATTATAACAAGGGATATTCCATCTAATTTCAGTTGCTTCCTTCCCACCTCATTCCCTGTTGCTACTGTTAAAACAAGTGGATTTCCTTGTAAACCTTGGAGCAGTGGAAGGAGGTGCATTTGGAACTCAGAGGGAAGAGGTTTTACTAATCTTTTTGAGGATTAGATAACAAGGGAAGCTAGCACCTGATTCTAGATTTGAGATGTCTCAACAGGTGGACATCAGGCCATGCTTTCACGCAGCACTATACTTTAGCTGAGGCATCAAGGTCTGATGCCTGCTTTGGTAGAGCTGTCCTGCTGTCATTTAAATAGGACTCCTAAGATCAACCTCCTGAATGAGATTACTGCCATCTAGTCACCAGGAGTGGAATCCATGTGGACAATCACTTGAAGAACGGTTACTTACCTTAGTGAGTGTGTAGTCCACCTGGATTCCATGACCAGCCCTCCTCCTCTTCCGCTACAACAGAGTCTTATATCATCTGGATGCTGTATGGTGAAGGAACTGAGGGACAGTTGGGTCTGCTCCACCGTCTTCTACCTGTAGGTGAGGAGCACGAGGATGTCAAAGACTTAAGTACAGCCCCAAAAGACACTGCCAGCCAAAAGAATCTGCTCTCGCATGTGTGGAGTCATGTGCCCCAGAATTGGAATCCATTTGGATGACACAGCTAGAATAACCACATTTACTGTCAGGTCAATGACAGTTCTTTGTGTTTGGAGGTATTAGTGGCAGTAGTCATTACATGCACAGACTGACAATAGAGAAAAGCAGGTAATGGGGCTTGCCTCTCTGAAGATCACCTGCTGAAACCAGCTTCTTGTTCATTTCCCTTGCAGTCACTTCATTTTCTGTATGCATTTCTGCTCCTGCCTGAGAGCTGTAACGGTAGGCACAGGAAGGTCCATGAACACACCTCTATCTGGTAGGGTAATCTTATCACAACAGTTTCCTTTTCCTTCCAGAAAGCTTCAGATCTGGCAGATATGATCAATCGAGTCATCCGGGAGGGGCTGGAAGGACTGGTGCTGAAAGATATAAAGGCAAGTCTGCTTATGGTCATGATCTTTCCTTGCTTAGACTTTCTCTGGAATCTTGGAGTAACAATTTCTCAGGAAAAAGAAGAACAGGAGTACTTGTGGCACTTTAGAGACTAACAAATTTATTAGAGCATAAGCTTTCGTGGACTACAGCCCACGAAAGCTTATGCTCTAATAAATTTGTTAGTCTCTAAAGTGCCACAAGTACTCCTGTTCTTTTTGCGGATACAGACTAACACGGCTGCTACTCTGAAATTTCTCAGGAGAAGATTGCACTATGTGTAATGTAAAATTATTTTCATCTAATCTTACCTTGAACTCTGCTCTTAAGTAGATAAAAGCCTTTGAACTATGCCGAGAATGCCTTACAGTTGATTTCATTTGAGCTCCAGATTACTCACTGCTTCTTACCTAAACCAGTGTTGTTCTCACTTCCTTCCCCCCTCGCGTATTGTTTTCCTGCCATCTGGTCTCCCGGTTATCTAAATGCATTTGAAGCAGGGCTGTATTGTGCTCTTGTGCCAGTAGCAGTGTAGCCCAGTGGCTAGGGCACCGAACTGGGAGTCAGGAAATATGGGTTCTAGTCATGGCTCTGTGTGACGATAGACATGTCACAACATTTCCCCATGCCTCAGTTTCCCCCTTTGTAAAATGTGGATAATGATACTTTAACCCCCTTTGAAAGTGATTTGAGACCAATGGATGAAAACAGTATGTGGCACTTGTTTATTATTAGCCTGTTTTTGAAGTGTCATGTCATGCTGGATTTTGGTAGGTGCTGTTTTCATGAACAAGGGAAGCCTTCGTCTAAACCTTTCCTTCTGAACTGGAGTATTGAAGTACTCTAGTGCAGTGTTTCTCAACCTTCTTGATACCAGGGACTGACTTGCTGCATTTCTAAATTGTCAGGGAGATCTCAGGGACCAGCCCAGTCCACGGACTGGTCGTGGAAACACGGCTCAAGTACAGATAGAAGTTTTGGGCCACTTTTTGAAATGGTTCCCTACAGAAATCTGAATGGGTTCCTTTCTGATTTAGCGTTCTTGCTTATTTGCAGAGTACGTATGAGCCCGGTAAACGTCACTGGCTAAAAGTGAAAAAGGACTATCTGAATGAAGGTGCCATGGCTGACACGGCAGACCTGGTGGTTCTGGGAGCTTTCTATGGACAAGGCAGTAAAGGTATGTCTCCTTGAACTAACGTGAGTTGATAACTTGCCTATGCTTCAGGTGGGAGAAAAATCTCTGGCTCGTTGGTTTCCAGGCAACTGTGCTCTTACCTGGCTGTACCAGCGCGCGCGCGTGTGTGTGTGTGTGTGTGTGTGTGTGTGTGTGTGTGTGTGTACTGTAACCCATAATACAGCTAGCAGCCGAGCTCCATTGTGGTCTAGAGTGTGCACAGCCGAATGAGTTGGCAGCTGGTGCACTGTGGCCCAATGTACAGATGCTCATTGTTAAGCTTTGTGGGTGGAGGTTTGCCTGGCTGGAATCCCGGTCACAAGCCTAAAGTCCCAAGGATCAGAGACCGGGAATCTTGATGGCTCTTTGTGTGCCGTGAAGTGGTGGGCTCCCCCTGGCACTCCGATGCTGAACCCCGCCTGCTCCCTGTTCCAGGTGGGATGATGTCCATTTTCCTCATGGGCTGCTATGACCCCAAGAGCCAGAAATGGTGCACGGTGACAAAGTGTGCTGGCGGGCACGATGATGCCACCCTGGCTCGCCTGCAGACGGAGCTGGACATGGTGAAGATCAGCAAGGTGAGGGGGGCTCTGGCATGTGCCTGGGAGGGCACATCTTATATTTGGATCCAAGCTCAGTGTGAGGCTACTGGCCGTTCAGTTCTCATTCAGGCTACTAGACGTTCCGATGAGAAGCAGCAAATGGCAGTTTGTGTGGTTTGCTGTGCTTATCCTCACTAGCCACTAGATGGGAGCGTTGCTTCACAAACGCTGAGGCCACAACATTCAAATGCAAGTGCCTTTGACACCTAAATCTAGGGTGGGCAAACTTTTTGGGCCGAGGGCCACATCTGGGTGGGGAAATTGTATGTAGGGCCGGGGCAGGGAGTTGGGGTGCGGGAGGGAGTGCAGAGTGGGGGAGGGAGTGCAGTGTGCAGGAAGGGACTCAGAGCAATGGATTGGGGCAGAGGAGGGGTGTGGCGTGTATGAGGGGCTCAGGGAAGGGGGTTGGAGTGCAGAGTGCAGCAGGGGCTCAGGGCAGGGGCGCAGGAGGGGTGCGGACTGCGGGAGGGGGCTCAGGGCAGGGGGTTGGGGTGCACAGGGTTGCAGGGTGCAGCAGGGAGCTCAGGGCAGGGAGTTGGGATGCAGGAGGAGTGCGGGGTGTACGAGGGAGCTCAGGGCAGGGAGTTGGGATGCAGGAGGAGTGCGGGGTGTACGAGGGGGCTCAGGGCAGGGGGTTGGGATGCAGGAGGGATGCAAGGTGCAAGCAGGGGGCTTAGGGCAGGGAGTTGGGGGGTGGGGTACAGGAGGGGTTCAGGCTCTGGGGTGGCAGCAGCGCGCATCGGGGCCAGGACAGGCTCCCTGCATGCCTGCCCTATCCCTGACCCTGCGCTGCTCCCGGAAGCGCTGCGGTCCCTGGCGGGGCGGGGGGGGGAGGGGGCGGCGGAGGGCTCTGCGTGCACTGCCCTTGCTGCGCCTCCAGGTACCTCCCCCAAAGCTCCCATTGGCGGCGGTTCCACGTTCCTGGCCAATGGGAGCTGCAGGGGGCGGTGCCTGGAGGCAAGGGCAAAGCATGGAGCCCTCTACCCCCCCCCCACCACCACCACCCGGGGGCTGCAGGGACGTGATGACGGCAGCGCCACGGGCCAGATCCAAAGCTCTGAGGGGCCGTAGTTTGCCCACCCCTGCCTAAATCCAATATCTCAGGCCACTTTAAGTGTCATCTAGGGGCAGAATTTTAAATACCAAGTTGGCAAATATTGGGCTTGGAGCATTTCCCTGGCATTTTAGAAGGTTGAGAATTAATTTTGCCTGGCACATCTGTGTAAACTAAAGTCTGTTTATAACGAGTTAAACCATTTGGTGAAACACTTAATTTTCACATGGGATGAACATATAGATGGAAACCAAGTCTCCCAAATCAGCAGAGGGTTGCTGCAGATCTAAGGGATACACTGCCTCCCAATACCTGCGATCCTGGGGCCTGAGGGAGTATCTTGGCCTCTTAATGGTAGAGATCCCTTGTGCGGAGATGCAGTGAGCTGTTGCTAATCTACCAGGTGTTAGTGTTAATCATGATGATGTCGTATTCAGGCCTGTATATTTGCCTGAGATAGAATTTTGGGTCTTGTGTACCCATTTGATTTTTGATATTTTTATATTCTTACTAATATGTGTGAACAAAGACACTGTTACATCTGCCCACAAGCAGATTGGGGGGGGGAGGGATAAGAGCGAGAGCTAAAGTGTTGCTGGGCAGAATGGGAGTGTAATATACGAACGCACACTTGAAGGACAGTCCTGCCTCAAACTCCTCTCCTGAGATAAGGTCAAGCAACTAGGCGGGAGGAGCAAGGAGGGTTGGGGGAAAGGTATAAGAAACACTAAAAGGCCAAAGAAATGCCTGTCTCTGACCGAAGCACAACCTCACTCCTTACCCATCTCATGGGGTAGAAAAGAGGTGGTACTGAAGCCCCAAGACCCTCCAAAATGGAACACGACTATAAATGGGAAGGGGTGGGACCAAGGGCGTGCACTACAGGTATAATGCCCCCTAAGGAAGGGGAAAAGGGGGACCCGGGGGGGAAAAGGCTCTGCTGGTGTGCAGAGCTATGCATATGCTTGCCTGCTTAACCCCAATAAACATCACGTTGCCTGCACCCCGACTTCTGGTCTTCTGCTTTCTGTCTGCGGGCCAAGATAAGGGCTAACTTCCCCTTCAACACGTATTTGCTGTCGGAGCAGGTTCGTGTTTTATCAGGCATATTGTTGTAATAATCACCCTTCCTATGCTTAATCCGTTCCTCTTGGCCTTCTAGGATCCCAGTAAAATTCCAAGCTGGCTGAAAATTAACAAGATCTATTATCCAGACTTCATTGTTCCAGACCCAAAGGCAAGTGCTTCCATGGACAGATCACGCTTTCCAGGGTTGGCGTGAGGCAATGCACTAATCTCTTTTTCTATGTACAGAGTAGTTTCTGCGGTGGGGCTCTGAGAGGAAGCACAAGTTCTCAATGTCGCATTTGCAGCCTTTCTTGGGAAAAATATTCTGGTGCATCAAACCTCATCTAAGATTTAAATTTTTTTAAAATTGAGGTTTCCAGCCCAAGCTGCTAAGAGAGGAATTGACAGAAACCTTTAGAGCAGTGGTTTTCAAACTGCGGGTCGCAACCCAGTACTGGGTCGCGGAATGTCACGCACTGGGTCGGGGCAGCTCTAGTCAGCACCGCCAACCGGGCCGTTAAAAGTCCCATCGGCAGGACTAGCTAAGGCAGGCTAGTCCCTACCTGTTCTCACACCACACTGTGCCCCGGAAGCGGCCAGCAGCAGGTCCAGCTCCTAGGCAGGGGGGCCATAGGACTCTGCGCGCTACCCCCGCCCTGGGCACCGGCTCTGCACTCGCATTGGCCGGGGGGTGGTGCCTGCAGGCAAGAGCCCCGCGGGGCCGCTTGCGCGCCTCTGCGCTGGACCTGCAGCTGGCCACTTCCAAGACGCAGCAGTCTGCAGTGCGGAATGGGAGCCACCTGAGTTAAGGCCATGTCCCACTACCTTGCCCCAGTCCTGAGACGCCCCCCAAACCCAGAGCCCTCTCCTGCAGCTCCAGCCCATAGCTTGCACCCCCAGCTCCAGCCCATAGCTTGCACCCCCAGCCCAGAGCCCTGACCCCGTCCTACACCCCAAACCCCTACTCCAGCCCAGAGCCCCCTCCCATACCCTGAACCCCTCATTCCCAGCCCCATCCCGCAGCCCACACCCCCAACCCTCTGCCCCAGCCCTGAGCCCCTCCCACACCCCAAGCCCCTCATCCCCAGCTCCGTTGGGTCGCAGGCATCAACAATTTTCTTCAACTGGGTCACCAGAAAAAAAGCTTGAAAACCACTGCTTTAGAGGACTCATTTACT